CTTCTTCTTCTTCTTCTTCTTCTTCTTCTTCTTCTTCTTCTTCTTCTTCCTGGCTTTCCCAGGCTGCCTTCTAACTCATGCAAATCGTGTAGTCTCAGCCTCCTGAGTGTTGGAGTTAGAGGCATGCTCCAACACACCCAGAATCACACGGTTTTAGTGGGAACCCAATGACTGGAAGTCATTAAATTTTTAATCTTTTGGGGTGATTGTTTTTTGTCTTTTTGAGACAGGGTCTTGCTATGCAGTTGAGCCTGCCTTGAGCTCACTCTGTGGCCTAGGCCAGTTTGGAACTCCAGTGATCCTCCTGCCTCAACTGGGATTGCAGGTGTGCACCACCGCTCCTGGCTTGGGTGGTTTTTTTGTTTTTGAGACAGGTCGTAACAGTGTAGTTCAGACTGGCCTGGAACTCACTGGGATCCTCCTGCCTCGGCCTCTCTAGCTGTGCTGGGAGTACAGGTGTGTACCACCTTGTCCAGCATACGCATGATGGCTTGATTCAATCTCTGGAGCACTGCAGAAAAATAAAGCTTATATTCTAATAACTTTATAGAATGTTTTAAAGCAGAATTGACTTAATTTGCTATAGTCCATTAATGAGAGGCAGGCCATTCTAAAGAGTGTTAGGAGCCAGGGAAATAGCTTGGCAGCGTAAGTGCCTGTCTGGAAAGCACAGGGTCCTGAGTTCAATTCCTGGTGGGGGGGGGGGGAGTGTCTGTTAACACTGTTGGGGGATTTGGTTTGGGATTATTGTTTTTTTGCGGTAAGGTTTATTATATAGTTCAGAGTTTCTTTGAGCTTAGGCTGGTCTCCAACTTTTCCTGCCTCAGCCTCCCCAGTGCTGGGATTACAAGCATGTGGTCATGCCCAGCAGTAGCTTGTTTTAAATGTCTTTTTAGTAATAACATAGGCCAGTGTCAGTGCTGGTAATGACAACCTAGTGAGTTTGCAAATCTAAAAGGAATTGTATTTTCTGTGCTTGACCAATTATTGGATATAATTGGGAGACTTGTCTTTGTCATTTAAAAATTAATGCAAGACACACAAGGCCATATATTCAATTCACAGCACAGCAGAATGACAGTTTGCAACTTCAAGGTACATTCTTCATAAACCTCAAGTGTCACTGCCTTTACTCATCTGTCCATCTAAGAAATTTCAAAGGGGCTGGGGGGGAGAGAGCTCAGTAGAATAAGTGCACAAGGGTTGAGTTCCACCAAAAGAAAATTTGCAAATCTTTATTATCTTTTTTTTTTTCAAACAAGATCTTTATTATGTGATACAGGCTGGCCTTCAACTCATTGTATAGTCCATGTGGGTCCTCCCAAGTGCTGGAATTGCAGACATGCACTATCACACCTGGCTAGAAATTGGAAACATTTTAAATATAATTAAAACCTTTAATGATTTTTCTTTAAACTTTTAGGCTAGTGATACAGAACGAGATGGACTAGCCCCAGAAAAGACATCCCCAGATAGAGATAAGAAAAAAGAACAGTCAGATGTCTCTGTTTCTCCTAAAACCTCAAAGCATCATTATTCAAGATCACGATCAAGGTCAAGAGAGAGAAAACGAAAATCAGGTAAGACAAATTTAGTTTGGTGCTAAAAAACTGGGTTTGTTTTCTGTTTGTTTTTGACAGATTTTTCAGTTTTGAGAATAAATTTATTTACATTTGAATGGCAGAAACAGTTAACTCTTAAGATGATCCAAATTTTGCCAGTTTTATTGGCAAAATAAGGGTTTTCCAGTTCCTGTATAGTTTTCAGGCAGTATGAATATTATCTGAAGAGTGACATTTTAACAACCTTTGAGATAAGTTACAAGAACAAGTCTAACTTTGTTCTTTTTAACTTGATGTTGCTTTGGGGTTTGTTTTTATAGTGCAAAGTATATGTATGCCTGGCAAGCACTGTATCACTCACTATATTAGAGTTTTTCTTAAGAAAGAGGTTTGGTATTTGTAAATCCCCCGTATTTAATTTCTTATAAAAAGTGCTGAGTAAATACTTTGGTCAATAAATAGAACTGTACTGATACGTGGTGGCACATACCCATAATCCCAGCACTGGCTGTAAGGCAGGAGGATCATTCATTGCACGTTCGAAGCCAGCCTAAATTGCATGGCAGGACCCTGTCTCAAAAAGCCAAAAAAAAAGGTGGGGGAGAAAAGTATAAGACTTAGACCTCAGTTATGTACATATATGACTCTGGATAATTTCCTCTGCTTATTTTTATTTATTTTTCTGTTATTGTGATGTTGGGAATTGAGCCCCTAGGGTTGGGGGGGGTTGTTTGTTTGTGTATTTGTGTTTGTGTGTGTGTGTTTTGTTTTTGGTTTTTTGTTTTCGGTTTTTTTTTTTTTTTTTTTTTTTGTGGAACCGGGGATTGAACTCAGGCCCTTACGCTTGCCAGAGAAACGCTTATTCCACTAAGCCATCTCCCCAGCCCCTTCTAGAGTTTTGAACTAGGCTATACCCACATTCCTTTTTATTTTGAGACAGGTTTGGGGCAGGGGGGAGAACTGGGGATTGAACTTGGGCCCTCGCACTTGCGGAGCACTTATTCTACTGAGCTATCTCCCCAGCCCATTGAGACAGACTCTTGCTAATTTGCTCAGGTTTACCTTGAATTTGTGATTCTTTTGCCTCAGCCTCCGGAGTGTCTAGGATTCCAGGCAAGGGCCTCCAAGCTAGCCAAAGTGTTATTTTTACAAGTATTTATCATAGCCATCTTGATCTTTCTATATAGGGTCTAGCTATATAATTCAGGCTGACCTTGAACTTAGAGCAACTCTCCATCCCTACTGCTGGCATTATAGACGTGCACCATCATGCCCCACTTCGTAACCCATTTTAAATGCAAAATCTAAGATTCTTTTGGCTATACTTGTATTACTTTTTAGTAAGGGTCTACAGGGTCTCACTATGTAGATCGGACTCGTGGTGATCCGCCTGTATTCAGCCTCTGAAGGAGCTGGGATTACAGATATGCCACCACGCCCAGCCCAGTCTCAATCTTGGTCTCAGTGTGCCCCAGGGCAGGGGCAGCACAGCAGGCCCCATATCCCTGGCCCCTGTGTCTGCCTAAGCAGGTGCTTTAATCCACTGAACTATTTGGCTGGCCCTTAAAATTTGTATTACATACTATATATAGTCTAAACTTTCCCTTTTTGCATTTATCTGAGTTTTTGCTTTCTAAATTGTTTATCTCTAGTAAGACTGTAAGTATCTCTATACTAGAAAACAAGAACTAGTCAGAATATTTTTCTAGAATACCAAGAGTCTTTCAAAAAGGACTATGCCGGGGCCAGGGAGATGGCTCAGTAGAATAAGCACTTCCCTGGCAAGTGCAAGGGCCTGAGTTCAATCCCCGGTTCTGGGGAAAAAAAAAAAAAAAACTGTGTTTTTAGTATGTTCTAGTTTCTTCAGATTGATTTGTTTTATATACATACTGTATTAAGGCTAGAATAATTCTACCCTTGCCATACGAGCGTAGTCAGACAGGAGTTACAGCTCAGTGGTGAAGAACTAGTACAGTATACACATTCCTGGGTTCCACCCCCAACACCACCAGAAGAAAAGCATACTCATTGGATGAGAGATTGATACATGATTAGAACTTGGGTTTTAGATATTTCTGTCTTTGATTATGGTGATTTTTTTTTTCCCCCTGTGTTCACAGATAATGAAGGAAGAAAGCACAGGAGTCGGAGCAGAAGCAAAGAGGTAATTAACACTTTGTGTGAATAGGTATTTTAAAATACTTGTGAGGTATCTGGTAGAAATGTTTGTGTGAATATAAGATATTTCACGGTAAGTACCAAAACTTGAAATTTGAATGATTAATTGGGTTATAAAATAAGCATGATTTGGATTCATCAGTTTTCAAGAAGTCTATTTGAGTATCTTCAAAACCTATTAATTTTATTACATTGTGAAACTATGCACAATAAAAATTTCATATGAAGAATATAATTGGTTTTTTTAGGCCTGTCACACAGAGCTTCCATTAATATCTGAGGTCCCGAGTCTCCCTACACCTGACAACTGCTCAGGATTTTTAAATAGCAGCCATCTGTAAGTAGCAGTACCCTAGATATCTGCGCTACTTTTTCTTCATGGAAGATAACAAGAGCTCTCTTTTCTTTAGTAAAACTAGGTTGATTTTCCTAATAGAGATTTTATTTTGAAATAGAAGTATGAGTAAGGGACAGCTGAAAAGGTGGCAGAGACACTTAACTTGAGCAAGGGGGGAAAGGTAGCTGTAATGCACAGGAGTTAACTTGCTTACCCACCTGAGAAGATGAGGACTAAGCCATGAAGGAAGAGCAGAAGTAGCCAGCAAGGGAGGAGAGGAGTCTTACGGGGGCTGGGCAAGGGACTCCTAAAACAAATGTGGGCAGGGACTTCACCTCTTTCCCTAATGGAAGCTCTGTTAAATTTTTAATTTAGGAGAATTTTTGTGAAAATGAATATTTTGTGTAGTTCACATGATAACATTTCTATAATAAATCATACTCAGCGTGCTAATGCGCGAAGAGACTGAACTGAAGACGCTGCAGACTCAGATAGCAAAATAATAAGCCTACTTCATGATAAGGTAACTATTAGTCATTCAAACTCCTATTTCCCTTAAATATATCTTAAATCAGTTAAGGGTTTTAATGTTTTTTTAATTAATAATGCTATGTTTGGAAAAGTACTTTGAAATAAATTCTAAAATAAAACCTTTGAAAACCTTTTAACCACTTAAAGCTTTTTCTAGTTTGCCTTTACATGGCAAAATCAAGGATGTTTTCTTTTCTAAGGTCATTAATAGAGAACTGGCAACAAAACTAAAATTTTAACTTGTGTCTCCAGGTCTCTTATTTTCTACAAAGTAAGAAATATTTTCAGATGTGTCATCATGCATGTTTAGAATGATTGACTAAGTTTTGTTTTATCTTGGAAAGAAAGCAAAATGCTTTGATGTATTTTGGGAAACATAAATGTCACATTATGCTGGAGAAGTGGTGGCCTGGGTATCAGAAGAATGTGGGAGCCAAGTTCAGTTCAACTCCTGTGTGGCTTGTGGCTTTAGATCTTAGTTGGACCCAAAGAAAGGGGATTAGATGAGAGGATATGAGTTCCCAGATTTAAACTTTAGTGATCCTGAGATGTTTGGGATTTTAAGCTCTATGTGTAAGATGGCTTTAACAAAGTATAATGTGGAATAATTTAGTATTTCCTACTTTGGTATTTGCATGGTAGGATGGCAATCTGATCAATCATAAATTTTATCAGAATCTATAATAAAAGCCTTGTGTGGTTTGGGGTGGGTGTTTGGTTTTTGGGGGGTTTGTTTGTTTGTTTTTGAGAGGTCTCACTGCAATTCAGGCTGGCCTTAAGCTCACTTTGTGGCCCAGGTTAGTCTCAGACTCTAAACAATCCTCCTGTCTCAGCCTCCCAAGTGCTAGGATTACAGGCATGCAACACCACACCTGACTCAAAGCCTTGGTTTTAATCTTTCAGAGTATAGGAGAAATGTTTTATATGATGGTATAGTGATTAAACGTGTTGCTCTAGATGGATTCTGTGAAAATTAAAAAGATACAGTTGCTTTTTTATTTATACCCTAGTTACAGGAAGTACAATAAAAATCTAAGCCTGTTAGGAATAAATATTGTAGGATGATATTTAGACATGAGAGAAAATTGAAGGCCTGTTCTTTAGAAAAAGTGGCAGGCAGTCCAACTATTAAAGAGACACTGCAACTCTGATCTGAAGTTGGAGAAAATTATCCTTTTTTAATGGCTAATAAAATATACTTAGCTACTTAATTTGAAATGCTTTTTAAATGCATTTCCTTGTGTTATTTGTTTACTTTTTATATTTAAAACATGTATTTTAGGGTTAGAAATGATGTATATACGTGGCCTGATTGTTTTGGATAGAATATAGGGGGTTCTTTGGTATAATAGTTTATCAGTATTTTACTTCTTAAAATCATTTTATTGTGATTTTATTTGGGGGGACTCCATTTGGGTGTTTATAAAGACTAAAATTAGAAACATACCTGCAGCATTTGGGTGGTGTAAAACTAGAGGTTTTTTTTTATTATTATTTGCAACACACTCCTAAGGTTACTAATGTTGCATCACAACATTTTTTGTCTACTGTTACCCATACTAACTCTCTTTGTTGCACTATTTTCCTGAAAGAACCAACTTCTTCTTAAAACAGGGAAGAAGACATGAATCCAAAGATAAATCCTCTAAGAAACACAAGTCTGAGGAACATAATGACAAAGAACATTCTTCTGATAAAGGAAGAGAACGACTAAATTCTTCTGAAAATGGGGAGGACAGACACAAACGCAAAGAAAGAAAGTCATCACGAGGCAGAAGTCATTCAAGGTCTAGGTCCCGGGAAAGGTAGGGAACTTTGATACTTTGATTTTTGTTTTTTTCCGATAGCTTTAAATTACATAAAGCTAGGGCTGGGGAGAGAGCACAGAGATAGGATAGCAGCCTAAGCACCTGCTTAGGCAAGCACGGGGACCTGTGATCCACTGGGCCCACCCCTGAGGTCCCTGAGCTGGCCATCTGAGACACAGCATAATCCCACCACTGTGGAGGCTGAAAACAGGATCACTATGAGTCTGAGCTGCATGAGGAGACCTTGTACCAAATGCATTTAAAAGGGGCCAGGGAAATGACTCTGTAGAATAAGCACTTCCTTGGCAATCACTAGGGCCTGAGTTCAATCCCTGGTTCTGCCAAAAAAAAAAGTACATTTAAAAAATTTTATATAAATATTTACATTACCCAAGCATTGCATACACAAAGGAATCTTAATTGGGAGATTGGAATTTCTTATTAACTTGACATATTCCATTGCCAACTAATTGCTAAAGTCTTGGGCTTTTCTGTTAAATCCAAAAATGGTCAACAGCTTGGCTTGAGGCTAAGTTTTCTTTAACCTCCTGATTTATCTCTCTTTTTTTATTTTTTATTTTTTAATTTTATTTGTGTGTGTGGCCAGCTCAGCCCACCAGGGGGCGGGGCTGGCTGGCATGTGGTGCTGGGGGATTGAACCGTGGTCCCTGTGCTTTGCTAAGCTTGTTCTAAGTAGGTGCTTTAGACCACTGAGCCATCTCACCAGCCCCCTATCTCTCACTTTATAAATATGTGTTTAGAAAATTCTGTGGGTGATGTATGTGTGCTATCAGACTTAGTGAAATTTAAGTATTATCTTCTAAACTCTAAATAACTTGGTAAAGCATAGATTTTAAACCATAGGTGTTCATGTTTGTGGCTAATGTGAGCCACTTTTGAGTGAAGACTCGTGTTATATAACAAAACTTCATTTTTAAGGTTTATTAAATTATATAACATTTAAAAATTAAAACTTCTAAGTACCTGCTTAGGCAAGCTCAGGGGCTGGGGTTCAATCCCAGGTACAACATGCTGTGCCAGCCCTGTCCATGGAGCACAATGAGCCCAGGTATGATGGCGTATGCCTATAATCCCAGCTGCTGGGGCGGCTGAAAACAAGAGTTTGAACTGCATAGTGAGACCCTGTACCAAAAATAAAATGAAAATTTAAACTTAAAAAAGGAAATTAAGAAAACATAAGGGCTGGGTTACAGCTCAGCTGTCAGTCCCTGCCTGGTAGGCATACGGTCCTGAGTTCTAGTCCCAGTACCAAGAACAAAAGAAAATTAAGGGGCTAGGGAAATAGCTCAGTAGAATGAGTACTTGCTTGGCAAGCACAGGGTCCTGAGTTCAATCTCCGGTACCACAAAAAAAAAAAAGAAAGAAAAAAATTTGTCTACCTGCTTAATAGCAATAAATGTCTACATTCACAGACACCCACATGTAGGTATGTGTGTCGGTATGCTTACATGCTGCTGCCAGAAGTTGCTGTCATTTACTCACCTAGTTACATCAGCACTGTATCACTGTATATGCAGGAGTCTGTTCGACTGCGTGTGGCAGACACCATATGCAAAGTTTGCACAGCACTTCCCTCTTCTAAACAGCATTCCTTGTCGCTGTACACTCCCCGCTAAAGAAAAGTATCTTGGGACTGGGGAGATGGCTCAGTAGAATAAGCGCTTCCCTGGCAAGCGCAAGGACCTGAGTTCAATCCCTGGTTCTGCAAAAAAAAAAAAAAAAGAAAGAAAAAAGAAAAGTATCTTTAAGAATGAGGCAGGGGAGCCAGGGTTATATATATAGCTCAGTAGCACAGGCATCTGCCTTACAAATGCAAGGTCCTGAGTTCATTTCCTGGTACAGAAAAAAGAGACAGAGGCAGGGGGAGATAGAATGAAGCAGAGGCATTACAGACAGGCACCATGCCACAGAGCTATCTCCCCATCCACCAGCACAGACATTACAGGTTGAGTCCTGTGTGGCTGCTCCTGCGTCAGCCTCCCAAAGTGCTGGCATTACAGGCATAGACCACCACATTACTTGCTAGCCAGCTTCTAGTTGAATAAGCTGCTTTAACATACTAAAGAGAATCCTTTTTTGTTTGTTTTTGTTGTTTGAAACAAGGTCTTAGGGCCGGGGAGATGGCTCAGTGGAATAAGTGCTTCCCTGGCAAGCACAAGGACCTGAGTTCAATCCCCGGTTCCACCAAAAAAAAAAGAAAAAAGAAAATAAAGGCACAGACCCCAATAGCACTGAATCCAAATGTTACACTTGGCCATCTTGAAACAAGGTCTTACCTTACAATCCTTGCTGGCTTTGAACTCTTGCCTCAGCCTACCAGTGCTGAAATCACAGGTGTGTGCCTCCACAAAGGCTTAAATAGGATTATAAATTGGCATAGGGTAAATTGAACATTGTAACTATGTTCCTTTCCTTGACCAGAGAATTAGCAAATTATGAGGTTACACTTGTAGTAGGTTATGACTCCTTTTGCAAATCTCAATTACTTTATAAATAATAGAGTAGGTTATTGCCTGTCTTTACTATGTGATTCCAGTTGTTTAAAACTGGAGAAGCAAAGCTATAAGTAACCATGTTTCTGCATTTGAATTTCAGGCGGCATCGCAGTAGAAGCAGGGAGCGGAAGAAGTCTCGATCTAGGAGTAGAGATCGGAAGAAATCACGGTCCAGAAGCAGAGATAGGAAAAAGTCACGATCCAGAAGCAGAGACAGAAAACGGCGGATTAGATCTCGTTCCCGCTCAAGATCAAGACACAGGCATAGGACTAGAAGCAGGAGTAGAACAAGAAGTAGGAGTCGGTAGGTTGTTGTTAGCCCAAATAAAGGTTAAGGGATTCCTCATGGAATCTATTTGTTTTCAATGTATGAATATGAAAGTTGCAGTCCACATTTTTATTTACAGATTGAGAGGATGCAGGGGTGGGGGTAGCTGGGAATCAAACTTAGGACTTTTCTGGCCCTGAGAAATTTTAATCATCACTGCATCATTAAAAAGCCTGCAGTTGGGAGTGTAGCTCTAGAGCAATGATGACAAACATAGCACACGGAAAAAATTAAGAAGAAAATTATTAAGGTATGACCTGGGTGTTTTCCAACTAAAGCCTCAGTATTCAGGTTTGATTGCAGTTTTGGCACTTTGCAATAAATGAGTATTGGCTTACAGTTTGTGCACTTGCCTCTAAAAGGTTTTCCTGCTTTACAGAGTCTGAGTATAGCAGAGAGGTAAATATAGCATGCATAGCAACATTAAAAAAAACTTAAAACAACTGCCTTTGTATTGTGGTATAATCAAAATGAATCTGATATATAAATAATTAATAAAAATTCAGTTTTTGCTGGGTGTGGTATTACACACCTATAATTACAGCTGTCCAAGAGGCTGAGCTGTGCTAGTCTGAGCACATTATTATTTTTTTTTTTTAAATAAAACAATGTTTTTTTTTTAATATTTATTTATTTTTATTTATTACATTTATTTATTGTGTGTGTGTGTGGCCAGCTCAGCCCACCAGGGGGCGGGTCTGGCTGGCATGTGGTGCTGGGGATCGAACCGCGGTCCCTGTGCTTTGCCAAGCTTGTTTCAAGTAGGTGCTTTAGACCACTGAGCCATCTCTCCAGCCCCTGAGCACATTATTGAGACTTAACTCAAAATTAAGAAAAAGCACTGAGCCTGGCGTGGTGGCGCACACCCATGATCCCAGCGGGGTAGGGGTGGGGGGCTGGGGCCAATAAAAAAGATAAGCACAAAAGTTCAAGGCCAGCACTCTGAAGGATGAAGCATGAGAATTGTGGATTTGAGGCCAACCTTGCTAAAAGGAAAATAAGGCGATTGGGGATATGTAGTTCAGTGCTTCCTGGGCTCAGTACTCCAGTGCCTCCCCTAGGATGGGAAGATCATCAGTTAACTTTGAGTAGTGAATGCATTGGTTTTGTGATCACAAAACTGGGTGTGGTGGCACATTTCTGTAATATCAGTATTCTGGGAGGCTGAGGCAGGAGGATCAAAAGTTCAGAGCCAGGGCTAGGGGGATAGCTGAACAGCATAAGCGCTTGCCTTGTAAGCGCAAGGTCATGAGTTCAGTCCCTGGTACAGAAAAAGCAAATCTCAGAGCCAGACTAAGCAACTTAAGAGCCTGTCTTGAAAAAGACTTATTTTGATGCAGGGTCTTATTGTATAGCTCAGGCTGGCTTCAGACTCATAGTGATTATCCTGCCTCAACCTCTCAACTACTGGGTTTACAAATGTGTATCACCACAGTCCAGCCTGTGTGGGTTGGGAAGGAGATGATAAATAACTTGCTGGGGCCAGCATGGCAGGCCACAGATCAAGCCCCTGTGTCTGCCTAAGCAGGCACTTTAATCTGCCTGAGCTATCTGGCCGGCCCATGAGTTAATTCCTGGTACAAAAAAATCATACCTACTCTTTAGATTTTCGTTTTACCATTTGTTTGAACTTTGAAACGAGCAGTTTCTCTTGGCTTGTGAGGTTTTTTTGGAGGGGTGTTACTGGGGATCAGACTTGACAGTTTTGGAGGCAGTTCAGTTTAACTATCATTTCCAGATTCCAAGTCTTACTAATATCTCTTATTTGATCAATGACTTATCTTTCACTTTGCTAATTTTTATTTTAGTATTAGTGACTATATTAACACTTGCTACAATTTTAATTACTAAATTTAGCCTATCGTTAACATAATGTCCTACAGAATGAAAAAAGTGCCACACTTGTCTTTGCAACATTGATTTACTGTATTCCAAAGGTAGAAGCAACCATTTCCAGGGGCCAGGGAGATGACTCGGTACAATAAGTGCTTCCCTAGCAAGTGTAAGGGCCTGAGTTCAATCCCTGGTTCTGCCAAAAAGAAAAAAAAAAAAAAATAACCATTTCCAATGCTTCCCCCATGCTGTACATGGTATGTAATGAAGTTTTCTTTGAAGTATTTGAGCACAGTGAGACGTGTAGTGCAATTTCTTACAGAGATAGAAAAAAGAGAATTGAAAAACCAAGAAGATTTAGCAGAAGTTTGAGCCGGACTCCTAGTCCACCTCCTTTCAGAGGAAGAAATACAGCGATGGATGCACAAGAAGCTTTAGCACGGAGGTGTGTGGTTTGTTTGTTGTTTTTTTGTTTTTTTTTTTTCTTTTTTTCTTTTTTTTTTTCCCCCATTTCAACTTGGGTGAACCAAATGAACAGTTTTCAAGTCAGTGTAAGACAGATAAATCTGTCCATAAGTACTGTGCATTTCTGCGATATGAAACTGTGTAAGTGATTTTTAAAGGCTTGTTTTAGACATTCACATATTTATACCACCAGGAAGATTGAGGTGTCCAGAACAGTTCCTGGTTGTTCATTCATGATAAACTGGTTCTTTTCTGTGGAAAAATTTAGATTCCTAAGTGGGTTTTTTGTTTGCTCAGGGTTTTTTGAGTCATAAATCTAATCGTGAGATAATTGAATTTCTCTGCTTGAAATGGCTTTTCCTTTATCTTAAGAAAAGAAAAGGGCCGGAGAGATGGCTCAGTAGAATAAGTGCTTGCCTGGCAAGTGCAAGGGCCTGAGTTCAATCCCTGGTTCCGCAAAAAAAAGAAAAGAAATACCTGAAACAGTGCTGTCATTTTTTGGGAGGGTGTTTAAGGCAACAAATAATAAATACACTTCAGTGCCAGTTTATTGTCTTCCAACACAGGGAAACCTTGTCTTTCTTAAAATTTTATACTGTTTCAAAGGTGAGTGGTTGTGAAACCACAAACAGCAGAGCTATGACTGAAATCTCCAAAATGCTTCAAAGAACAGCCTCACAGGAGGCAAGAAGTACAAACTTAAACACCCATTTATACCCATACACTTAAAATTAAACTGGATTTGGGGTTTTTTTCCTCTTTTTTTTTTTTTTCTTTGTGAAATTGAGTTTGTATCTTTTTTCCATTATAAAAATACAGTTGTCACAATGTAACCTGATGTGCTGCTGCCCTGTGAACCCAGCCTGGCAGAAACTCCAGCTGAACAGCAGCAGCAAAGGTGTAAGCTCACCCCTTCTTCATTCCATTCACTTGTGTGAATGGTCTCAATTCCAGACCAACAGTGGCCATGTTAATGTGACCAGGAGTAGTCTTGTTTTCTTTCTAAAAATAAAACCCACAGAATATGCAAATGATGTACTGCAAAATCTGACATAATTAATCATGAATAGTCCATTAACTCTGATGAGTATTTTCTAAGACTTCAAAATTTGTAACTTTTTATTTTTGGATTTCATTAAAGTGAAGCTGTTCTAAGACTTTTTGACTGGGGCTAGTGGTCTTTCAGGTATGTCAGTTTTGTGCGGAATCTAATTTCAGATTACAAGATCATTACTTGGCTACCTCAAAATTTGAAAGGAAGGTCTTTTATTGAGCTATAATATGCAGACCATTTGATTTTTGTTTTTCGTTCCTTTTTTTATTTTGTAAAAGCTTTCTGATGTATGACCTACATTTATGATTTGTCCTAATGGGAAAATTTTTATTCTTAGGATAAATAAAGTCAAGTCTTTTTCTTGCCAATGTGCTGAGTTAAAAATGAGTAAAATTACAGATTGTTAAATATCTTCTGTATAGATTTCAGCAATTCTTCATACAAATACCAACTTACTATATTTTATTAGCCATGTGCCCCTAAATAAAAACAACCTTTCCAGACGTGGTGGCATACACCTGTAATCCCAGCACTCGGGAGGCTGAAGCAAGAGGATCACCAAGAGTTTGAGGTCAGCCTGGGCTACATAGGGAGACCCTGTCTCAATCAAAACCACCTTTTCCCCGATCCTTACCTGTTTACCACATTAAGGAGGGAGGTATGACCCATACATACATTCCCTGCACTCTTGAGAAGCTGAGGCAAGAGGATTACAATTTAGCCACTTAGTGATAACCCTATTTCAAAATTAAAAAAGGATTTAGGATGTAGCTCAGTGAAGAGGTCCTGGATTCAATCTCCAGGGCCTCAAAAAAAATGGGGATTGTGTGTGACATAGTATGATTTGTTAAAAAAGTTTCTCTTTCAGGAATGGATTGTGAAGGTGTTATTGAGGAAACAGACTTGACAAACATATAGCATACATATTCATGTTACCGTCCCTTTACTAATGATAAAATTATTGAGCTACTGAAGCTAATTTCCAAATAGATATTTGCCCACCTATTAATTAAAGAATGGCAGGGTTTGCCATAGGATATATACCAGTGGTCCCAGCACTTGGGAGACTGAGGCAGTAAGATCACCTTGAGTTTGAAACCAGCCTCGTCTATGGGCTACATAGTAAAAGGCTACTGTGAAATAAATACCAAGACCTTTTTTTTCTCAAAAAAAAAAAAGGCAGTATTTGTTTGCCCTCTTGTTTATGACATTTTAAAGTTTGTATTAACTTGGAGATAATAAAGCCCATCTAAGTATAAAATTCATTTTTTAGCCAGGCATGGTGGCACACATCTGTAATTCCAGCTCTTGGGGGATGACACAGGAAGATCACTCTTTTCTTTAAGGACAGCTTGAACTGTATAGCAAAACCCTGTCTCAAAAAGAACAAAAAAATTTCGTTTTCTAATATATTGATAGGCTTTCTCATCCTCTTGCAATTTTTCCCCAAGGAGTGCATTAGGTATTTTTTTCTTTAGGTCGTTTTATGAGCAATTTTTTTTAACACATTCTAAATGGGTAACTCAGTATACTATTTTTTAAAGAATTTAGTTTTCTTTTGTACTCGTGATACTGAAATTTTTTAAATTTTTAACCACTTTTTTGTAGAAATTAATTTTAAATACTGTATTGTGGGCACTGTGGACCTTGTACAAGGCCCTAAGTTTAGTCCACATAGATACTCAGTCTTACAGCACAATCCTGTAGTCCCTGCTGAGGTGAGGAGGGTTGGTTCAGGACCACCTATACAATAGACAGCCATCCTACTAGAAGTAATAAATGAATAAAAATAGAAACATTGAAATGTTTGACTAATAGCTAATTTTAAGAATAGAAATCTTAAACATTAAGTTAAAATTCAAATGTAATGTTTCCATATATGTTTAACAATACTGGTTTTACATCTGGCATTGTTTCATATTTGCTTAAATTGTGTTTGACAGGTTGGAAAGGGCAAAGAAATTACAAGAGCAACGGGAAAAGGAAATGGTTGAAAAACAGAAACAACAAGAAATGGCTGCAGGTAATTTTTATTATGGCTGCATGACATATTTTTTGAAAATGTCATCTTATTTCTGCTTCCTATCTGGTATTGCCATAAACATTTTTAGTGTTTTCCCACCTCAAATTTTTTGGCGGGGGGCTGCAACCAGGGATTGGACTCAGGCCCTTGCACTTGCCAGGGAAGCTCTTATTCTACTGAGCCATCTCCTCAGCCCTCACCTCAAATTTTGTGCACTTCATTTTTGTTTTTGTCGTCGTGCTAGAGCTCAAAACGAAAGCCTCCTGCGTATGAGCCGAGTTCTCTGCCATTGAGGTATATCCCAGCCCCACTGTAGTTACTGTTTTTGATTTGGTCCATGTCGGTAATGAATGATGACTTGTTAATGTGGCCTTAAGTTCACTATTTAGCCCAAGCTTGCCTTGAACTTCAATGCCCTTCTCGGCCTTACAAGTGCTGGGATTACAGATGTGCACCATTATGTCTAGGCTGAATTCTGGACCAACAAAAATAAGTGCCGAGAAGAATTTCTAGGGTTTGGCCCTAGGATTTGCTACATGTATATAATATCTACCTCACATTTCTGGGTGTTACTTTTATTTCAAAGGAGCTGTCTTATAAAGACAGTTTAAGGGCCAGCCAGATAGCTCAGCAGATGAAAGTGCCTGCTTAGGATGATGCAGGGGCCAGGCATCCCCAGGGCCCAGTGTGTACTGAGACTGCAGTTAAGACTGGGTGTGGTGGCATGCGCCTATAATCCCAGCTCTTGGGAAGCTGTAAACAAGAGGATCACTACCAAGTCCAATTTATGTAGTGAGACCCTTTAGATCCTGTACTAAATACCAAAAAAGTTCATAAAATATAAGGGCCCTTATGAGTACAATATTAATTATAATTACAGTGGCTGAGGATATAACTTAAAGCGAGGGTGCTTATCTGTCATGCCCAAGGCCCTGGGTTTAATTCCTAGCACTGCAAAAATAAACATGTAATTTGGTCTGTGTAACCCACAATAAGTCTGCCAGGCCAAAAAAGTTTTTTTAATACAGCTAAATTACAGCTACAGATACTGTAGTTCATCTCTGTTGAAATATGACTTATTTGAAGTTTTTCTTCAGGTTGAGGCTTTACTACCTACTAGAGATCTTATGAATTTCATTTTCTTACATTTGCTGAATATAATCTTGTCTTTTTACAAACTGGATGGTTATTTGATGTAATATATATATTTTTTTTTCTTCATAATTTTATTGAGAAACAAATAGCAATGAGACTGTTTCAAACCCAATTGGTAGGACAGTTGCAATAATTAACACATTGCATACATTCTTCCTAGTGGTTTGATGTAATATATTGATGTACAATAAAAAATGTGTTTTTTAAACACCCATACTTGTATGCTCTAAAGCTGCTGCAGCCACTGGAGGTTCTGTTCTCAATGTTGCTGCCCTGTTGGCATCAGGAACACAAGTGACTCCTCAGATAGCTATGGCAGCTCAAATGGCAGCCCTTCAAGCCAAAGCATTGGCAGAGACCGGAATAGCTGTGCCAAGCTACTATAATCCAGCAGCTGTGAATCCAATGAAGTTTGCTGAACAAGAGAAAAAAAGGAAAATGCTTTGGCAAGGCAAGAAAGAAGGGGTGAGTTAACTTTATTCTCTTAACCATTTACCCCTGTTTAGCAGTTGTATTAGGAAAAAGATTAAGCTTCTGTGAATTTGCTTGGAAGTTTTTGTTTTCAATGACTAATTGAAAATATGTATAGGTCATAGTTTTTGAGAAAACTAGTATTACTACATAAATTTATAAAGCAAGACCCTGTCTAAAAGAAAACTACTTTTCAAAAAATCAACTTATAAAGGAAAAAACTCTTCAGATTAAAGTGTCTCTTTAAAGATGCAAAATGGGTCTGTTAGGGGCTGGGGAGATGGCTCAGTAGAATAAGCGCTTCCCTGGCAAGCACAAGGGTCTGAGTTCAAGCCCCAGCTCCGCCAAAAAAAAAATAAATAAATAAATAAAATAAAATGGGTCTGTTAAATAGCTCAGTGGGTTACTGCTGTGCTGGCCCTGACCCCTGGGGGCACTGTGGGAAGCTGTAAACAGGAGGATCACTGAGTCCAGTCTATGCAGTGAGACCCTGTACACCCTGTTTTAAATACAAAAAAAGGATATGAAGTAATTATTTACATTTTTTCTTTATTCCATAATGTATATCTTAGAGCATGCCATAAATGTTTCTTTTATTTATAGAGTTTACATACTAATAATAACTACTGTGTTTTGTACATTTTAAAATTCAGTATTTCTTAACAGGACAAATCCCAGTCTGCTGAAATATGGGAAAAATTGAATTTTGGAAACAAGGACCAAAATGTCAAATTTAGGAAGTTAATGGGTATTAAGGTGAGTGATAATATGTATTAATATTTATATAATTGAGCTGAGGTAATAGCTCAGGGGCTGTGTCTGCCTACCTGGCAAACGTAAGTTCTGAGTTTGGTTCCTGGTACCAAATATATAAGTATGTATTATATTTTGGCACAACATATACATATGTACTATATATGCACGCACACACACGTGTGTTTTATTACATGTCATAGTGTTCCTCCTGTCTCAGCCTCTCCAGTGCTCAGGGTACAGGCTTACACCATCATTCTTGGGTTTTGGTGGCCAGAATAGTGCACCCAGGGTTTCAAGGCCAGCGCAGCATGTATCAATCAGGGATTGAACCTGGGCCCTTACACGTACCAGGCAGGCGCTTAGACCACTAAGCTATCTCCCCAGCCCAAAATTGTTCAGTTTAAAGTAACATATTTGATATTACTGAGTTTGTGTGCCTCCTTTAGTCAATAAAAAATCTTTGTGGGGAGGGTGTTTTAAGTCAGGTCCTCACTGTAGTCCAGGCTGGCCTTGAATTTATTGTAGTGTAGCATCAATTTCCTGTTTAGCTCATACTGCTTTTGGTAGGGTTGTGAAATGGGACCTCACAGTTTCAAGGAAGTTTTGTTTTTTTAAGTTGCAGAAAGTTGGATTTTATTGAACTGTAAATGTAAAAATGGTATTTTAGTTTTAAAAAGAAAAAAAAAAAAAAAAACTAAAGTCTAGGGATGTTGCTCAGCGGTGCAGCCCTTAATGTACCCCTGGGTTAAATTCCTCATAGTGCAAACAAGTGCCCTGACTTTGATTAGGTGCTTTTCCTTGAGGAAACCATAGTATCTTTGCATTTATTAGCTACTGCTAATTGTTGGACTACGGTTCCCTCAGATTACTGTAGAATTTTTTTCTTATATCTGGTTTCTGCTCAGCTCTTACCTTCCCCCCCCCAAATCAGGGATTGAACTTGGGCTCCTCCCTTGCCAGGCAAGTGCTTATTCCACTGAGCTACCTCCCTGGCCCCTCAATTTTAATTCTATATCCTTTTTTTTTTTTTTTTTTTTTTTTTTTTTTTTTTTTTTTTTTTTTTTTTTTTTTTTTTTTTTTTTTTTAATTATTTATTTATTTTTATTTATTACATTTATTTATTGTGTGTGTGTGTGGCCAGCTCAGACCACCAGAGGGCGTGGCTGGCTGGCATGTGGTGCTGGGGGATCGAACCGCGGTCCCTGTGTTTTGCCAAGCTTGTTTCAAGTAGGTGCTTTAGACCACTGAGCCATCTCTCCAGCCCAAATTCTATATCCTTTAAACTCTTTAACAAGTACTGTGTTCTACCTGTGTTCTTTGCCTCCCCCACACATACGAACTTGAAGTGAATTTTTTTTGTTAATCTACTGTACTCCATACCTAGAAAAAACATTCTCCTGGGGTCAGGGAGATGGCTCAGTGGAATAAGCACTTTCCTGGCAAGCGCAAGGGCCTGAGTTCAATCCCCGGTTCTGGGGGGAAAAAAAATTCTCTTGCACTCTGTCCTACAGGTGGTTAATGATCTGAAGCTACATCAGATACACAGAAAGTCACAATTCTTATCTGAATGAATGATTTTAATCTTACATTTGATAGAGTGAAGATGAAGCTGGATGTAGTTCAGTTGATGAAGAAAGTTACAAGACATTGAAGCAACAAGAAGAAGTATTTAGAAATCTAGATGCTCAGTATGAAATGGCAAGATCACAAACCCACACACAAAGAGGAATGGGTTTGGGCTTCACATCTTCAATGCGAGGAATGGATGCAGTGTGAAAAAGATCACACTTTTTAAAGCTTGGGACTTTGTAGACTTCTTGCTCAGATGTCAGGTCCTTGTTCACCAAACAGCTAGCATTCTAGCTTGCATGGGTGTTGCATTGACTTTAATTTATTGAAAAATACAATTTTTTGTAAATATCAGATCAGTGATAACTGGTGTTAGTGTCGTAATCAGGTTAAATCCACTTCCATTAAACTTGACAGGACTATAGAAGGACAATATTTTTAGTTAATGAATTCTACTTTTCAAATATATTAAAGCTGCAGGTGGGATAAAATCTCATACATAAATCTTTTCGTGTCTGCTGTCTTGTGTACTTTTGTACTTAACCTTGTACAGTTATTTTCATCTCTTGAAACATGAAAGAAATGTTATGTAGATGTTCTTTAGAAGATCTGGCCATTTGGTACATAATCCAGCACAAATGAGCTGGGTGGTGATGATAATAAAAATGGTTTTCTCAAAACTTGTTAATTTAAGTTATCTAGAATTCTTGTTTAAATTGGTTTTATAATTTTTGTAGCATTTTGTAATTGCTATTTGAAAGCACCAGTTAGAGAAATGTTCCCCTCAAGATTAGTTATTTCTGTAGGTAAAACCATGATGAGCAGAAATATTTTATATTCCCTTTCAGGAAGATGAGAGCAAACATTAAAGAATACTGGTTTCCTAATATCATAAAGGATGGAATTGGTATATAGTATTTGTTAAAATATTCCATGATTTAGGAAATAGATTTAATGAATTAAAGGGATGTAAGCACTTTTATTTTAATAAAGTGCCTTATAACAAGTCTTTTGTATACCCTTTGCTCATTATCCCTTTGAAGTCTCCAGCATAAATACAAATATTAGAGAAATTTTGTCACTAAATCTGGGCATGAGGGAAGAACTAAAACTGATTTTCATTAAAGTTGTGTTTTAACTTTCCTTTGAAGAACATCACTAATAGTCCAGTACAAAAGCAAAAGTTGTATAGAAGGATAAAAGTTTGGGGGGGGGGGTTAGGAGATATTTGGGGGGGTAGTATTGTTGTTTGAGGGGGTTAGAAATTGATCGCAATGTTTCCTGGATGTCAGTGCGCTACATCCAAGCACTCCACACAACTATTAAGTTCTGCCCTTAAATGTCTTTGAAGAAGTTGATGACTGGGCTGAAGATGGCCCCGTCCTAGAATGTGGCTAGCAGCATCACAGCAGAAAAACCTCCATAGCAATGGGAGGCAGTAGGGGGAGAAAGTTCCTGTGTTTGAGTAGGGTGTGGGTGGGAGACTCCCCTCTGCTCATGTGTAGCACAACTGCAATGTACCATAACCAGTTGAAATGTGAAAATCTGTACAATGTACCGAATTAAGCCTGCAATCAATAGTTGTGACAATGGATAATTTATACTTCTAAACAACAAGGACACAAATTGCCGATCGAGTAATTTAAAGATGGTGGCTAGGTGGAACAGTAACACCAGAAGACCGGGCTCCAGGCTGACAACATGCCTCAGCAAACTAAATGCCTGCTTAGGCAAGTGCAGGGACCCAGGCACTGGGGTTCATTAACCAGGACCCCCAGGGCACCCTGAGCCAAGATCAAGTGTGACACATGGCTGGGGGAGGCTGTAAACTGGAGGACCATGAAGTCTGAGCTGCACAGTGAGACTCTGCTGAATACATAGAACACCATATCCTTTGAGACAATACACAGTTTTGGTGGGTTTTTTTGTTTTTTTTTTTTTTTTGGCGGAACCGGGAATTGAACTCAGGCCCTTGCGCTTGCCAGGCAAACACACTACTGAGCCATCTCCCCAGCCCTCCCATTCGTTTTATTTTTTTTTAATTTATTTTATTTGTGTGTGTGTGTATGTGTGGCCAGCTTAGTCCACCAGGGGGCAGGGCTGGCTGGCATGTGGTGCTGGGGGATTGAACCACGGTCCCTGTGCTTTAGCTAAGCTTGTTCAAAGTAGGAGCTTTAGACCACTGAGCCATCTCACCAGCCCATTAAGGCTTTTTTTTTTTTTTTTTTTTTCCTCCAATGCCTTCAGGGCACTTTTGGCCAGCTGGAGAGGTGTGAGGTTCGAACTCTAGCAACCTGAGGCTGACAGCATTGTGGAAGCAGCCACTTAAAGGCCTGAGCTAGGGCCAGGCCCCCAAAAATGGAATAAGGTTTTTGTTCCTCGAATGCCTTCAGGGCACATTTGGCCAGCGGGAGAGGGGGAGAGTTGTGAGGTTCGAACTCCAGCAACCGGAGGCTGACAGCTTTGTGGAAGCAGCCACTTAAAGGCCTGAGCTAGGGCCAGGCCCCCACCTCCCATTCGATTTCAGAGTCATTTGGGAGCATAGGATTTGGTAACTGTTGGTCTTCCTGAAAAGGCTACAGGTGCCATGGAGGTTTGCGGTTGGGAAACACTGAATTTTGTACTGCATTAAGCTTAGAAAAACATTACCAGATAAGTGAGATGAGATGAAACAGGAATTGCTGTATACTAATTCCAACAAAAGGTTCAAGTACATACTCATTTAATTTCTAGGGGACCCACTCTTAGTTCTACTGTGGCATCAGTCTAGTTTCAGATACTTTCCCACACAGCCTTTGGGGTTTCAAGACTGGTCCTTTCTCCTGCATTAATCTCACAATGTCATGTCATCCTCTGTCGCTGTTAACTTGCACTAAAAACCAGGGTCCACCAATGTTAACCTTGCGTACTGCTGTGGTCCAAAGAACTAGACTCAAGGCACTTGATCACTGAACTACGGTCATGTACTGCAAGTTGTGTTAACCTTTAATTCAGACTATAAAAGCTTAATGTAAAGATGCAGCTACCTAAAATGTCTACTGTGACCTAAAATCTTCAGTATACCAATGATACCTAAGCACTTTTGTGTGGGGCACACCTGTAATCCCAGCACTTGAGAGGCTAAAGCTGGACTATCACCATGAGTTTGAGTTTAGTCTGGGCTACATAGAAGTTCAAGGTCAGCCTGAACTACGTAGTGAGACCTTGTATCAAAACAAACAAACAAACAAAAAAAAAAAACCTTCCATTTGTCCAGCTACTTCTCCATTACCTATCAGGTTAAAATTACCTCAAATTACCAAATACAAAATACAACCTCTGCTCCCAAGCCTGGTCCATAGCCATTGTTCTCAATCTCAAACCTGTTTTCATCAGAATGCTGGCAAACCACATAGGACCCCTTTTCTCTTATTACCCAGTATCAGATCATTAATTGAGATCTCTTGGTTTAGTTTCATCTTTTAAAATCTTCTAACTGACCGATGTTCTCCATGACTTTTGCCCCACTGCCCTAATCCAAGCTGCAAGTCACATGGGCACTTGAAGGCACAGGACAAGCACTCCCAAAGGGAACCTTTGAGCTGGAGATCACTCACGTGTGTGGCGCTGAGAACACGGCTCAAGGAACACCCGAGGGGATGGAGCGCCCGAGGCCCACAGGTGCTCGAGACCAGAGAACACAGCGCAGGCGGTGTGCGGCTGACTCGTTAGGCAAAGGGGCTTCATCTGCCATCAGCTTGCTAACGGTATGAACACTTTGACGATTGCGCAGTGCCTTTTCCTCCCATCTGAAGACTGACCCCAGCTTTCTGTGTATTGTTTCTGTCTTTATTTCTCCATCCTTCTGTCACCCCCAACTCCCCTGGATGCTACACTCTGCCACTGTTTCACCCCACGCTCCAAGCTAAAACTTGATTTAGCTAATGCAAGTACAAAAATCTTGGAAAAAAATAAATAAAATTTGCCTCAAAAAAAAATCTTATCAATCTGTCTAGTAGACTCAGAATTTTATTCTAGCTTTATCTGTACTATGTCCTCTACCCTCAACAGTTAGTAGTTTCTTTGTTTGTTTGTTTTGCAGTACTGGGGATTGAACTCAGGACTCTGTGCTTGCCAGACAAACGCTTATTCTACTGAGCAATCTCCCCGGGCCCAGTAGTATTTTTTAACAGGATTTGAACCTGGGACCTTTCAGTTGCCAGGTAGGCATTTAGTGTCATGAGCTATATGCCCAGCTCCCATCCTCTGCCCTCTAATCAGGACCATCTTACCAAAATGAACAACTTGCTGGTAACATACACCCTGTTTAAATGACGTCTGGTGCTGGAGGCTGAGAAAAGATCTCTCACAGGTTGGGATACTGGCCTAACAATGGCCCACCTTCATACTGCTACACACTCTGCCTTTCCATTCCACATGTCATTTTAGGGGCTGGGGATTTGGCTCAGTGGTATAAAGCTGGCCTAGCAAGCTGGCAAGCCCTGGGTTGTCCTTGGCACCACAAGCAAGAAATAAGCCCCAAAAGCCATTTTATTGGCCTGAGTTGTTCTTTCTTTTTTTTCCTTTTTGGCGGAACCGGGGATTGAACTCAGGCCCTTGCGCTTTCCAGGGAAGCGCTTATTCCACTGAGCCATCTCCCCGGCCCCCTGAGTTGTTTATTCCATTCTTTTTGTTTTGTTTTGTTTTTTTGAGGAACAGGGGATTGAACTCAGGCCCTTGTGTTTGCCAAGCAAGCGCTTATTCTACTGAGCTATCTCCCCGACCCCCAATTCCATTCTTAAATACTCTCAACCCCAACTTTTTTCTGGGGTGGGGATGACAGGGATCGATCTATATCCCAGGCTTCATTCTATTATTGCTGAGTGATTAATTTCCCCAGACTCGGCTCAAATCTGTCTTCCTGCCTCAGCTTCCCAAGAGTACTGGATTTATAAATGTGCTCCAAGACACCTAACAAGTTCCTGTAGTTTTTACCTGAATGTGAGGAATAATCTTCAACACCCAACTCTACTGCAAAACAGAAAAGCTATAATTACCGAGCTTTTAGTTGTTTCTTGGCTCTGCCTTCCCTGAGACCAGGAATTCCTCTATTTTACTCATTCTGGCACCCTCAGATCCCCTACAAGTGCCTGACACATTATGAGTGAATGCTGTTGAATGAATGGGTTAACATGAAACCTCACGGAATAAGCTGGGCGTTGTGCACGCCTGCAATACCAGCACTTGGGAGGCTGAGGCAGGAGGATCGCTGTGAGTTCAAAACCAGCCTGGGCTACAAAGTGAGCTCAAGGCCAGCCTGAACTCCATAGTAAGACTGACATCGCCACTGAGCTAATTCCCAAGCCCAAGTTGTTTCTTCTTTTCTTTTGTTTTATTTTTGTTGTTGTTGGTTGGTTGTTTTGTATTTTAGGGAAGGGTCTACCGGGTGTTCGGGTCTCACTGCTAGATCGGACTCTTAGTGATCCGCCTGTTTACAGCCTCCCAAGAGCTGGGATGACAGCACATGCCACCACTCCTAGTCTCAATTGCCTCTCAGCGCGCCCCGGGATCGAGCCCCCAGCCCCTGCGCCTCAAGCCCAACTTTTGTGAGGAAGTTCTCACTATGCAATCCATGCTGGCCTTGAACTCATTATGTAGCCTAGGCTGGCCTCGAACTCGCCCTGATCCTCCTGCCTCAGCCTCCCTAGTGCTGAAATTACTGGTGTATGCCACTATGCTTGGCAGACAAATTTTAAAACTGTCGGCTGCTTCAACAAAGCAGTCAGTCTCAGGTTGCTGTGGTTTGATCCCCACAACTCCAGCCAGCCAAACATGCCCTGAAGGCATTCTGAGCCAGCCCAAAAAAAAAAAAAAAACTTCCTAAACAAAATTTAGGGCTGGAGAGATGGCTCAGTGGTCTAAAGCACCTACTTGGAACAAGCTTGGCAAAGCACAGGGACAGCGGTTCGATCCCCTAGCACCACATGCCAGCCAGCCCCGCCCCCTGGTGGGCTGAGCTGGCCACACACACACACACACACTAAATAAATGTAATAAATAAATAAAAACAATACCTTTAAAAAAAATTAGCTAATTTTGCATTAAAAAGAAAAGCCAAAAAAAACCTAGTTTAAGATCACAAAAGTAGTCTGTGGCAAAACCCAAGATCCTTTTTTTGTTACTCTTTAGCATACACACCATAATCTCTCACAAACCATGGGTTGTGCTGATTCTTCAGCCTTGGCTGCTTTAACAGGGACAACCCATATTTTAACGCATTCTTATCCAGCTAGGCGTTGTTCACCTTTAAAAATGACAATCCCGGCATGCAACGCAAACAATGGGTTAACAGTCTTTAGGAGTCACGCGTCTCAGCCAGCGACGCTCCGAGGCAATCTCCGAACAGCGGAGAGAAGCCCCGTTGCATTCTGGGAGCTGTAGTCCTCCGCGATCGAGCCCGCCCCTGGCGCGGTGGTGGCTGCCCGCCTGTGGAGAAAACTACCCCGTAGCTCGGCGCGACTCAGAGCCCTAGAAAGCGGTGGTGCCGCCCTACAACCTTCGTCCCCAGCTCGCAAGGCTGGCTCCACCTCTCTAATCGTTCCCACCACCCAAAATGGCGGCGGAAGTAGATTTTGGCGACCTAGAGCTGTTTGAGGCGTTTGACCCCCGGGAGGAGTCGACTCCGAAGCCCGTTCACACCCGCTTCAAGGACGAGGACGGCGACGGCGACGAGGAAGAAGACCAGAATGGGGGCGGTGACGCGGAGCTGCGGGAGCGGCTCCGGCAGTGCGAGGAGACCATCGAGCAGCTCCGCGCCGAGAATATCCTTCCGGCGGGCCGGGCCCTGTCACCCGCGCCGCGCCGTGGGGGCCGCGCGGCTCCCGGCGTTCGCGGCGGCCGTGCCGGGAGGACCCGAGGTGGAGGTCCCCCCTCTCGCTCGGCTGTTGGGCCGTGTGCGGGCGCGGGCTGTGCGTGCGCGCTGCCTCCGGGCCTGCGCGCAGACCACGCTCCAGCGGGGACCCTTCGTGCACCAGGTCCCCTCCAGCCCGAGGGGTGCCCTGTGAGGTGATGGCAGCCGCTCCCCGCTTCTCGGGCTGTGAGGTCATTATCCCGTCTCACTCGTGGCAGCCTACCGCAGGCGGAGGCACTCGAGACCCAGCAGTATGCCGAGGGACACCGGAGGCGTAGATCTTGCATCAGTTTTTGTGGCGGGCCCGGCGCTGGGGGTCTTGGGATGCAAAGTTGGGAGCCTTGGGAACCAGGGCGGGCTCGAGGGACTGTTAATTCCTTAAGATCGAGAACTCATTTCAGAGTTCTTGCACCTTGAGCAGCCTTGCGTTGACGTACTTTAAGGAAAACGCACCAAATAAGTTTGCACAATTACAGACCTTCTTGATTTGCTACTCCGTTTATTTACGTTCTTGGGGTTTTAAGACCATTTATACTTAGGTAATTTTGGTTCAGATCTTTTCCTTCAAAATTTGTAAAGAGCCCTTAAAAGTTTTTAGTATTGAGACAGTTTTTAAGGTTTTTGAAGCCTGATTTTCATTTGCATGGTACTATTTTCCTTGATGATTTATTATGAAAAAGCTCAAAATATACAAGAACAAAGTTGAAAGAACTGTACAGTGAGGATTAACAGATTTCATTCTAGGATCTTCAGTAGTTGTTTGGTAGGCTGCAGTTATCACTTGTGATCCTTTTTGGAAAAAAATCCTATTGGATGTTTAAACTTAGTGCCAGGAACACCGTTGGTTTAAATAACATTTTGAGTTTAGTCTGTTAGTCTCTTTTTGAACATTAAGATCAAGTCTTAGAATATGTTCCAGGGGCCGGGGACATGGCTCAGTGCAAGCACAAGGGCCTGAGTTCAATCCCAGGTTTCGAAAAAAAAAAAAAATCTATGTTCCAAAGGATAAAAACTGTTTTGGTTTTGTTGATTATTTTGGGTTGTAAACAAACAGGTGGGTCATCTTCAAAATATTTGGGACTCATATTTAGAACATTCTGATACCAAAAGTGAGTCCATAGTAGTGTTGAACTTTATGGCAGGATAATACTTTTTAATGAGTGTAAATATGCCTTAACAAGCAATAACATCAAGAACTTAAAAGAAAATTGAACATTCTGACTCGACCTAGGTATGAGATCTTGAAATTACACCACACTTGTCTGTCACATACTGAATTATTTATCTGGATATTAATTTTTTTCTTTCTTAGATATTAAGTTTAATGACGATTTGTAAAACAGCTATAGGATTTTTATATGATTGTCATTTGTTTAGCATATTCTCAAGGAATCAGACGTAATACCTTTTATTCTTAAATTTTGCAACTAAAATCTGAATTTTCAGAAGTGCCTTAAACTTTTAAACATTTAAACTTAAACTGTTTACGGAGTGAAAATATTGATGTAGAACATTCAGAGAATTTTGACTAGCAGAAGGACTAGGTAAGTTGTCAGCCTAGGTAACTGGATTCACTAAACATCCTTTTTTTTTTATCTTTAGTACAGGGTCTCACTACAGGTCGCACTTGCAGTGATCCTACTGTTTTCAGCTTCCCAAGTCTGGGATTATAGGCACATACCACCACGCACGGTCTCAGTTACATCTCAGCTAGAGGGTGGGGAGGCAAGTGGCAGCCACTCTGGGATCAACCTGATTCCTGCCCGTGCCTGAGGGTGTGGGTTCAATACCAGCAGGCTGTGCGGGCCCCGCCCCAGGGGCACACTGAGAAAGCAGTTGAGATGGGGCGTGGTGGCACGCCTGTCATCCCAGCGCTTGGGAGGCTGAAAACAGGAGAATAACTATGAGTCCAGTCTACAGAGCAAGACCCTGAACACCCTGTAGACCCTGTACTGAATACATAAAAAATAAATAGATTTATAATATGGTAGCCAAAGATTTATTCACACAATTAAAATGTCTTTTTTTTTTTTTTTTTTCCAGTACCAGGGATTGAACACAGGACCCTCTGCTTGCTAGGCAAGCGCTTATTCTACTACTGAGCTATGTCCCGGGACCCAAAATGTGTTCATAAATACAATTGCAAGATGCAACTTTTTTTTTTTTTTTTTCTCTCGGAACCAGAGATTGAACTCAGGCCCTTGTGCTTATTCTATTGAGCTATCTCCCCGGCCCCCAGATGCAACATTTTAGAAGAAAAATGAATGTGCTTTTGAAAAAAAGGACAGTTATATGTTTGTATTCAGGATTCTGGTTTTAACAAATCAAATGCTAGTATTTCAATATAAGTATTTCACATCATAAAATCTGAAGTTATCTGTTAAAGTGTACATTTTATGTATAATATGTTAATTTCAAGTTTTCAGAGTTGGCGGGGGCCATGATACTTGTACTTTTTTGCCCCTGGAGCTGGCTGCATTTTGAATGAAAGCTGAAATTTGATAATTTGGAAGTGTTGAAGAGTAATTTATTGGCATACACCTATAATCCCACCATTCAGGAGGCTGAGGCAGGAGGATCCATTGGTGTTCAAGACAAAGCTGGGCAACAAAGTGAGCTCAAGGCCGCCCTGAACGATGTAGCAAGAAAAAGACAAGGGGAAAAAAAAAAAAGATAACTTTCTCTTATGTCCTGCCCAGCTTCCTCTCCAGGATCACACTTTGTATATATAAATGCATTGGTGGTTAGTATTTAAAGTGTTAGCTGGAAGGCCGACCAAATAGCTCAACGGATTAAAACACAAGCAGGCACAAGGGCCAGGGGTTTGATCCCTGGGCCTGTCCTGCCCTGAGACAGCAATTGAGACTGGGCGTGGGGGCGCGTGCCTGTAATCCCAGGTCTTGGGAGGCTGTAAATAGGAAAATCATTAGAAATTACCAGTCCGATCTAGTAGTGAGACCCTGAACACCCTGTAGATCCTTCCCTAAAATACAAAAAAAAAGATGTTAGCTGGGAGTTCAGCAGCTCAAAGGCCTAAGCGCCCGCTTTGGCTGGCCCAGCCCCTGGGCTTCCTGAGATGGGCATGGTGGAGCACACCTGTAATCCCAGCCCTGGGGAGGCTGAAAACAGGAGGATCGTTAGGAGTCCTGAACTAGATAGTGAGACCCTGTGTCGAATACATACATACATGTGTGCATACATGAATGTGTTAAATATTGAAGTTTTTTGTAAAATTCTTTTTTATGTTAGGTGATGTTATATATTTATCTATTTATTTTTGCGGAACCGGGGATTGAACTCAGGCCCTTGCCCTTGCCAGGGAAGCACTTATTCTGCTGAGCCATCTCCCCGGCTCCAGGTGATCTATATTGATTAGCATACCTTTTCTAATGTAGTTCAATTTTTTTTT